ATATATATATATATATATATATATATATATATATACTATACTATATATACATATATACTATATATATATATGAGGACCAGGAGCTGGAGCCATATTCCAACAGATTTCAAATGATTACATTGATGACGAGTGACTACATTTTGATTACAAAAAATGATTACAAGAAGTGTAATCATATGATTTCAGTGATTGCAATGATTCCATTGATTTCACTGTGACCACACTCAGATGGCGCTTTGATTACGCCAGCATGTGACACCATGATTACGAATGTGAATAATCCCTCGACTAGCACACGAGGAATTTCGGGTTTTGTCTGAAGGACATTCGAAGCAGCGTGCAGCCGGCCCTTTCTCTGAATCATCTGATTTTCGGTGAGCGTGGCGGTTGCCTCTTTGAGACAATTATTTTGTGACGTTTCGTACATCTTAACCCTGCGAGGGTGATTATATTTCGATGTGAATTTCTGGGTGAGATCCTGGTCGCTACGACTAGCTGATAATTTGTGTTGCTGTAATTATATTTTATTCTCCCCCTCTCGTTCGAATATTATCCGTGTCCGATCATCATTATTGCGTCTCGCGACATTGAAATATGAGGACGTATTTCGGAGATTTAATTTTGAAATTCCGAAGTTGATTTATCTGTGAATTTTGGAAAGTTAATAGTAACGAGCCTGGTGTTGCGTATAACGAGGAGTTATTATCTGAACACTCTCGTTATCGGTGAAATTTGAAAGACATTGAATTAGTGAATTTTGAGGTCTTGTGAGCTTTAGTTAGTTTCGTTGGTTGGTGTTCCGTGTTGATGTTGTGATTTGTTTCTGGCCGCCAGCTTTACTTGTAGAGGAATTGATATAGAGGAATTCGATTTCGATCATTCTGTCTTAGTTTAGATTGACATGAATATTTTCTTTAAAAGTTTTTGACTTTATATCATTTGTTTATTCATGACTTTTAGAATTCTTTCACTCATTGTGACTTTGAGAATTACTTTGACTGATTATACGTTAGTCTTCTTCGTTTATTTATTCTTTCTTTTTTTATTCATTGTCAAGTCTTATTTCATATGACGAATGTGAATTTTGTAGATAATTGTTATATCGGAAATCGTTGAACGATTCGATTAATCGAAAGGGGTAGAGAATTAAGTCAATTAAGTTTATATCGATTTTTACTTTGAAAATTAATTCAATATTGTGAACTCCCGACAAATATCGTTGTTTTTTAAAACTATTTCCGTTACCTAGTCACACCTTCGTCTGCACTCTGCTAGTGACCTTTACGCAGTTCTCCAGTACGAGCCAGTAGGAGACCGTGTTGGAGTTTGGGACTGAGTCAGAGGAATTTTTTATTTCGTTCTCCAGAAGTCGTTCTGGTAATAACGACCTGGCGCCTAACAGTTATTCGTTTTAGGGTTGTTCTGCGTCGAAGGGTTGGGTAGTGCACGCAGGGTTCCGTGAATCTCTCAAAATTACGTCACAACTGATATTAAATTATATTTTTATGGAACATTTCGCCGAAAAACGGGTAGATTGGTATAACACACGGTATGGCTGAATTCGTCCCATCAAACGACATAACCTTTGAGGATGAAAATTTTGGTTGCCATTTGAAAAAAATCTGATAAAAATTGCAGCATCAGCATTTATGATCGAAACGTACTTTGCATCAGTTGTCGTCCATCCAACGCTATAACTTTCATTTGAAAGATTTTTCCATTACTGCCATCTTTAAAGAATTATTTGACCATACACTTTTAAATGGGAAACCCTGTATGTATATTATTGTACAGTCAGTGGCAAGAAAGTTTACAAAAATATATATACAGGGGGTCCTATTTGAAACAGTACGGCTTAATATCTCTCGTAGGAAAGGGGGACAGCAAAATTGTTCAAATACAAGTTGTAGGGTTTGGAGGGAAAAACTTAGTGCTGGTAGCATCCGGGCCCTCATTGCTTATGTTTCTATGCTGCGAGCATAAAGTCAGTTTTTTTTTAATGGCAACAATATTTTTCACCCCTACAAAAGTTGTTTGTCTCGCCGAGAAAAGTTTAACTATACCATATTTTTCGATGACGTCATCGTTTTCATGTGAATAATCGTACGAAAATCAAACGAAAGGGGAACATCTTTATTCAGACTATCTTGCCGCACAGAAACGCTGGAATGATATTTATTTACTATCTCGTCAATGTACCATATAAACAAAAGATGACTGAGGTAGGTAAGGGACGTTGTAAGAGGTAGGTGTTATTCCCTAACACCTAGAGCGTCGTAGAGCTAGGTGTTGGGGTATTGTAAGAGTTGGGTGTTAGGTGGGGTGACCTTACCCCACTCGATTTCTATTTGTGGGGTTACGTGAAAGATGTTGTGTACACTAATCGACCGACAACTCTAGCGGATTTGCGGAGACGGATAACACAAGCAATCGCGAACATTCCATCTGAAGTCCTCCGTTCTGTTGTTCGAAGTTTCCGATGCCGGCTAGAGTTGTGCCTTGCTGTTAATGGCGGTAACGTCGAACATCTTCTGTAATTACTGCTCGCGATACCTACACGAAGACACATGTATCGTATGTATAATAGAACTTGTTGATAGTCTTAATAAAGATATTTTACGTTAATTTAATTTTTGTACGATTATTCACATGAAAACGATGACGTCATCGAAAAATATGGTGTGGTTAAAATTTTCTCGGCGAGACAAACAACTTTTGTAGGGGTGAAAAATATTGTTATCATTTAAAAAAACTGACTTTATGTTCGTAGCATGGAAACATTAGCAATGGGGGCCTGGATTCCATCAGCACTAAGTTTCCCCCTCTGAACTCTAAAACCTGTATTTGAACAATTTTGCTGTTCCTCCCTTTTTACAAGAGATATTGAGCCATACTATTTCAAACGGGACACTCTGTATATATGAATTTGCCTCTCTAGCCGGGCGGGTTGTTGTATTCCAAACTATTGTACTAATATCATTGAAAAAAAACCGTTAATATTATTGAAAAAAAAACCGTTTATATAATTGGGGCGTTGTGGGGTTCATACCAGCCGCGTCCCCGTTGTCAACCCTGGGTTATGCTAAGTGCTGGTACGGCTGGATAATTATGCCTTACCATGCACTCTTGAATTTAATTTCAATACCATAATAAATTTAATATTCGAATTAACATGCCTTCAGAAGGAAAGGTGCCGTGTGGGGACACCTGTAGATCTATGCGAGCATCCATCATATAATATGAGATGTCTCAAAGAGGTTTAAATTCATTAATAGCAGCCCAGAAAAAAAAAATATATAGTTGTTAATATACTTGTTAAGAAATCAGGAGTCAGCATCGTATTACAACACGAGACGGTTTTGTAATACGGCATGATGCAAGTGTACCACGATTTTCAATGAAACCGAGATCACACTGGATGTTTTATGCTGAATATCAATAACACGGTTGCCCCGAAAAATAGTACGAGGTCCATTCCCTTGAGGTTGTAAATTCCAGGTATGCTATTAATGCAACTCGCCAATGGAGTCCAACGACTGATACGGGAACGTGAACCGATTCAGGGTGATGTGGGATGAAAAAATGGGGTTTAAGGTGTTTTTAAATGAAAACTAACGGTTTCACTGAACACCTCAAGTTTAATTACACAAAAATTAATTGTTCTGAGATAACACAAACTGATTTCACAATAATGTCTAAAATTACAGGAGATAAGTTGAATAAAAGTCTAAATTGTCTATTGATTCGAGAAACAATATCACACTTAACAATTACGCGATGATATTGCACTTCACTAATAAACTGTCTGACTGAAACGAAAAGATTGCGCGGATATAAAGGAGAAGCTCAGGAGAAGGCTCAGTAGGAATGAAGTCTCCACTGGCCGTTGTCTCGGAGGTAACTAACTCGATATTAACAAAATTCTAAGTTCTGTCTTCGAAAATGGAAGGAAACTGAAAATTTTATTGACTAACTTATTTTTGCTAGCTTTAAAATGATTGGTTGGAAGAAAGTGGGAAGGCGTAGACAAAACTGACCGTTAAGGGAGGCTTGGGTATTTTCAAGAATTATGGAATACCTTTTTTATTGTACAGAGAAAATTTCTGAGGTACTTGGGCCCGTGGTCATCTGGCTTCCACGTGTGGGGAAAAGAATTTGCTTCCTTCTGACTTTCCTAAGCTCTTACAATTTATGGCGCGACCGTAATAAAGAGATTTAACAGAAATTCTCGTGTCTAGAAGGGGTTTTCCCATGATAAGCAAAAAAAAAGGACTGACAAACAGGAAGCGGGATCCACGGTCCCTCGAAATATGAAAGTGGGGAATTTCCTCATCAAAATAAATAGAAAATCGGTCTTGACACCGAACACTTTGCCGGGTGGCTTGGCGAAGTGGGTAAGTTCGTTGCCTCACGTGCGAAAGGTTCCAAGTTCAAATCCCGGCCGAGTAGAATGGTGCGATCTAACCATTTAAAGTCTTGATCATCATCGCAGTATACCCTAACCGGGTCGAAGCGATGTAAAATAACGATAAAAAAAAACACCGAACACTGGACTCGATAGTTCATAATCCACTGAGTTCGTTTTGAGTTCACTTTCAAACTTATTTTATATTCTTTGTATCGAAGTAAACGGTTACTCTTTGATTAGAAATGAATAAACTAAAGTATCTTAAATTGCTGAGATTGAGTTCATATTACTCAATTATTCTATCGTACATAACGCATTGATTATCTTTTAATTATTTCCTTCGCATAGAGGTCAAAAAATACATGTAGAGCATATAGCATCCATCTTTCCATGTAATTCATGCCTTAAAACTAAGGTGGACTGAATAATAGCCGGGGGCTAATATGATAGTATCGGTGAGTAAAATATCTTGAATTTAAGCAGTAATGAGCTTGTGGCTTCTCCGAACCTTGGTCATTACTGCAATAATTCAACCTCTTGCAAGGTGAACCATGATTTGTTCTTTGAATAATCTAGTGTTTCCATATTCAAGGATTTATCCAGCTACTGAGTCAGCTAACTGATGTTGGACATGTCGGGCGGGACCAGTTTTTAAGTAAGAATGCCCTTATATCTCATAAATAAACTAGCTTTCAAAAACTCAAGGGGTATATCAGATTTATATTGCTTATGTACGAAAATCAATTTCTAGGTAGATTCTATAGCATGAAATCAGCTGGTGGACACTATGTGGTTGTAGTTGAGGACTTAGACCTTGAAAAGATAATCGGCAGTTCAACTCTAGTCGTGGAACAGAAATTCATCCACAATTGTGCACTTGTATGTATTAAATTCAATTTTGATAAAATTCTTTTAATACCATTTTTTTTCTCATTTCTGCAAATCGTTGGAGAATACAACTCATAATAACCTGAGATTTTCCAAGCCAATAACGTAATCAGCATCTCATGTTTACTTCACCTATCAAATTATTCGAATAATGAAGTGATTCTAACTGATGAATTTGAATATACCGACTATTCAGTCGATATTTTTTAGGACGACGTTGCTTTAGAAGAATCTATCAAAAGACCTCTTTTGCAGATCCTCATTTTTTTTCCCAAGAAAAATAGTTTTGTGTATCCATAGAATAATGCATTCGTTGAATCATCACTTTTCAATTTCATGTTATCACAGAAATTCATTATACATTATTTCCAATGGAAATTCTGAACTAGAAAGGAAAAAAAACATTGAAGTATCTTAAAGAAATCATAAAATAATAGAATGACTGACTTAAATTATTCCTCACAAGTTCAAATTGAATGCTGAATTAAACAGTTGATCGTATTTCAGATTGCATATTTGTCTAATATTAGTTCGTAAGTGGTAGGGGAATTGCGTACATTTTAGGTCGATGAAATTTTTACCATGGAATTCTATTTGATTGTCATGGAATTACTATTTCATGAGTAAATAAGTGGAAACTAGTTTTATATAAGTAAGCAACTGAATATATTTAGTTAAATGTACGAAGTTCCACACACAGTACTCCAAAGGAATGCGAAGTGCCTCCACCCTGGCAGATCTGTCGATTGTAGAATCGAGTTAATCAGTATGTCGATTCGTATGCGAGTGTAGTTCGATTCAGATCTCAGATTATTGATCGAATCGAAGATGAATCGACTTCATAGAAAGCTATAGCTTGTGAATCTCGAATGACAAAAATTTATTGCACCAAAACTTGAAAGACTCATGGGGTGGTCGATTATGAAAGACTCCTTAGGGTCGGACCAGGATCGACTTGGAGAAAGTCGATTGTGACTCGATTGCCCGCATATTATTCACATCAATCGACCCACAATCGACCAGTTGTTGAGTCATTTCATATAAGTGAATAATATGAAGTCAATCGAGTAACAATCGACTCAAGGATCAGTCGATTCGCCCACTGGAATTATAACAACTATTATGAAACGACTAAACAATTAGACCAGGATCAACTTTCTTTTAGTCGATCCTGGTCCGACCGTAAGGAGTCTTTCATAATCGACCACCCCATGAGCCGTTCGTTTTGGTGTAATAAATTTTTCTCATTCGAAATTTACTAGCTATTGACTTCCTATGAAGTCGATTCATCTTCGATTCCATCAATAATCTGAGATCTGAATCGAACTACATTCGCATACGAATCGATATACTGATCAAGTCGATTCTACAATCGACAGTCGATCGAATCTCAATCGGGGGATCCGCCAGGGGCACGCGCAGACATTCTATATAACTCATCCACTCAGTGTAGCTCAACCTCTAACATCAGTGGACAGTGACTCTTAACGATACTATTTATTAATAAACAATTGAAAATATGCCTTTTTCGACCGGGAATGTTTTTTTTTCATCAAGTACACGTGATTTTAGGAGTGATGACCTCCGACATATTTTTTCATATTTGCAACGTTGTCATCAATAAAAAAATCATAAGTAAAAGATGTTCCAATATATTCTTCATATTATTCACATTATTTCATGTATGTACATACGTTTGTTATACACGCTGACTTTATACAGGTTAGAAAATACTAGCGCTACTCTCGATGCTCTTTCACTATGTATGTTTACCTATTAGATTTGTTATTTCTTCCTCAATCAATTGTTTACAATCATTCTCATTGCAAAAACCATATGCCCGATGAAAATCATATCCCAATTTATTGACTGTTAAATTTTCATATTCCAATAAATGACTTGCTCATGTTCTGATTTTTATCCTCGGTAAATAAGATTTTAATCATAATTAAAATTCAATTCCTTGTAGAATACACTTTAGAGTGTCATTTTCGGGAATTCAATTTTTGTGGATACTCTGATAAAAGTGCATGCCAATGGTGTTGTCAATTTTTTTAGTTTGTTTACTTGGTAATTCAATTAATCTGCTGTTCACCTCATGAATATCAGACATTTAATTTTCCTGATTGCGTGTCGTATTAGTTTTCATTTCTTTACACTCATCAAGGGCGAGAGTTGACGCTGGCTGAGTCAATGATACAGTGGAAAAATTGGACACACGTGGGATTCGAATCCGACTGAATGAATCGTGAGTTCTTCGCCCTATTGACTGAACTTTTGCAGGCTTTCGATTTCTATGACATCTTCATAACGACTTAAGAATTTATCAACATCGGTATTTAATTATTAACATCGCTAACATCATCATTCAAAATTTATATCTGAAATTTCCGGTGTACTTTGCCAAAAATTTTTAGCAAATTTAACTGAAATTTCAAGGAATTTCTATAAATTATGAATTTCAATTGCATTTTCCCCTGAAAATGAGTGACAAATCAGGGAATTCCGGTAAATATATACATGAATTTTCAGGACATCAACACTGAATGCGATTTAGGGGGAAAAAATCATGAAATTTCAGATTTCAGAAAAAATTCATCCGAATTTCAAATAAATTCAGGAATTTTCGTTTTTGTGATAGTCAAAATTCTGGAATTTCACTGAATTTTCAGTGAAACGTGAAATTTCATTTTTTTCTCTAACGAAGTGGGGATTTAATGAGAAAATTTATGGGTTTTGGATAGCATTCTTTCCCGAATTCAATGTTCATTATTCAAAATAATGTTAAAACAATTATGCTCCTCCTATTTTTATGCCTGCAACGTAGTTATATCATTGGTGATGTGGATAATCCACCATACGAGTATAAGTGATGAATTGACAATGTGATTTTACGAATTATAGCCGTTAATGTCGAAAAAAAAAAAATTTACGCAAAAAAATGTTTTTCTCGTCTCCATATCAATATCACATGTCAAAATGTCCCGAAAAAATTGGGGATTATTATTATTTATCAAGAAAAAAGAGAATCAATTGATTTTCGACTGGCCCCTGTGAAACAGTGGAATTTGAAAAATTAAAACCTCTGAAAAAGGGTCATTACTTATCCTCACAGTACTGTCGTATTTTTTCGAATAGTACATGAAAAAACGAAAAAAATCGTTTTTTATTCATTAAAATCCTTTGACACATGTTGCAGACAAACGATTGATGTTGAAGAAACAAAAATTTACGGAAAGCATGTACTTACGTAGTACCTGATGGTGAGCATGTCAATTCAGAATTCTGAGAACCAAAAAAATTCAAGGTGGCTAAGTTGACATAGACTGTCCTATATGTATTGAAAGGGCAAGATAGAGCAGCTCTTGAGATAGGTAATCATTCATTGGAATCAAGAGATAATCCTGACATCGTAAATGTGATTCACCATGATGAAATTAAAAATGTTATTGATGCTCGTTATGTTGGGCCAAACGAAGCTGTTTGGCGCATATTGGGGAAAGAAATAAAAAAAATTTGTATGTCATCAAAACCTATCATGAGCCAGAATTTCAGCCCTTTCGCGGGAATAGTCTTGGAGTTATTAACATGTTTCTGGACGAACACACACACATACATACACACGCACACACATACATACGGACATCGGCTAAAAATATCAAATGTCGGCGTTTCAGACCACCCTGAGTCATATTCATGCAAAATTGGAGAATCGAAAAAAAAGTGATTACAATGCTTCCATTCGGAAGCAAAAAGTCATTTTGTTGTTTGTCTTCAAGTTCATTTACCCAATGAGCAAAACGTTATTCTTCCTGGTGATATGAATGAAGAAAGCATTAGAAATGCTATGAATCGCTCATGCAAGCTTCTTGAATATTTTCACCTAAATGCACACGACGGAACAGCAAGACGATATGCTTATACAGAAATTCCATGTCATTATACTTGGGGCAATGGTCAATGGAAACCCCGAAAAAGATCATTCAATGTACTTGGTCGAATGTATTCAATATATCCAAGTCAAGTTGAATTATATCATCTCCGATTGCTTCTATTGCATGTAAGAGGAGTCACAAATTACGACGATCTGAGAACTGTTGATGGACTTCTTCATAATACATTTGTTGAGACGTGTCTAGCACGAGGACTCATTGCAGATGATCATGAATGGCATAATGATCTGTCAGAAGGATCAATATGGATGATGCCTTATCAATTACGACGATTATTCGTTCGTCTCCTTATTCATTGTAATCCAGTAAAACCTGGAGAACTCTGGGAGGCGTTCAAAGAGAATATGTCTCATGATTATAAAAGGCATATGGATGGTTCAGCTGCGGAAAGAGAGACATATCTTGCAATTGCAAGAATGATTATAAGAGAAGGAAAGGATATATTATGTGTACAAGTTAATAAGGTGCTTTTTTTCATGAAAATCAGAGTTTTCTGTACTGCTTCTCACGATTTCTCGTCTGGGCATTGGTATTACATACTTCCCAAACTCGAAAACTTGAAAATTACTACAGGAAAATATTGTTCCTGGGCTGTTGCGATGGAGTTTTTTTACTCGTGTGGTTGGCCAGTCCTCGCCTACGGCTCGGAGGCCAACGCCACACGAGTAAAAAACCCCATCGCAACAGGCCGGAAAAATACTATTATTATAAAAAACAAAAAGACATTTAACGGTCGAAATATTCCCCATTATTTTCGATGACTTCTTTACTCCACCTCACTGGCAAATGACGAATTCCTTCGTGAAAGAAATTTGGCGGTTTTGACTCAATAAATTCATCGATGCTTTTTCGGACCTCGTCGATTTTTTTGAAGTACTCATCAGCTAAGTGGTGTTGAAGAGACCGAAATAGGTGGTAGTCGGATGGGGCGAGATCAGGCGAGTAAGCCGCGTGAGGGAGAACCTCCCATCCTAATTCACAGATAATATCCTATCCGAGAATCACTTGTCTACTTCCGGTGCCAGTATATGGCCTCTT